CCAGTTGTTGAAAGCCAACGCCTACTCCAAATGTTTCAATAAATTCATAACTATGGACGAAACGTGTGTTCATCTTCATCCAACCCAAAGATGTTCAAGTCACAACTCCCCACTGAGAAGGTCATGGCATCATTTTTTGGGGGATGCCAAGGGCGTTTTAACAGTTGATTATTTGGAAAGGGATCAACCCGTTACAGGAGATTACTAGGCATCGTTAATCAACAACTTGCGTCAAGAAATCAAAGAAAAGAGGATTGCTCCAAACCATGTGTGGTCTTCCATCAGGACAATGTCCCAACTCACAAATCGCGTATTGTTTTGATGTTGGCTTCGAATTATTCAATCACCCCACCCCCCCACACACAAGTGATCCAAGTTAATTTTTCTCTTTCCTAACCTCAGGAAGCGGCTCGGAATCCGTTTTGTCTTCTCTTGTTCTCGCAAGATTCTTTAGTTTATTTGCACGTGGACACCCAGACAGGCTTCTGTGTGAAGAATAGTTTCCAGTCAGATGACCGGACCCGTCACATCCGGGAGTGGGACACCTAGCGGACATTAAAACAAATAACATATATAACTTCTCAGCTTTGCATTGATCCAGACAAAGATCTCCAGTTTACACATTCAAAACAACGGGCGTGAAAATTGAATTTTTACAATTAATCTTTCATAATTATATTAGTAAAATAACTTTAAATTGAAAGAGTCTGGTGAAAAGGGTTTTAATTGTGGAATGTTTCTAAAATATAACAGTGCAACCTTATTTTAATCATATTTCTCAACTTTGCTTTTTCCATGTTAACATCTGCCTATATTCTGTAAAGTAATGTAAGTCAACTCGCAGGCAGCATGTTAAGCTTATTGGTTTTGCTGTCTATAAGCGATGATATCAGCCAATTGCATTAATGCCATTTTAATTAATTTGATTATTTATATTTTCTATATTTTATCTGTTTAATATATAGTCCAGTTTTGTTCCCATGTGTTATGTTTGACTGCTAAAGGGGGACTTGTGGCTATTGAGGGTTGCACGTGTGGGCTGTGGATTAGTTGAGGTTGCCCACCATTGCTGTGAAAACTAGTAAAGGACCAATAAGAAATTCTGTAAACCATGTGGCCAAAAATAGATGGTTATCGTCTACTATCTCATTAATATTCCAAGAAACTGCACAGTTATCATGTAAGAGGGACGCCAATGGGGAGTGGAGTAGGACTCATCAAGATTAGAAGAAGCTGAATATAAATACCAGTTTTACACTATTACTGTGTGTGCTGTAAAAAAACAAACTTGTGGTTAAAAAATAAAGCTAAGCTCAGGTCGAATGCAAGAGAGGTACCCGAAAAGTTCGTTGCTCGACCTATAAAGAAAAAAAGAGACACTGGTTGAACTATGATATATTTTTCAACATAATCTCTTTCTTAGTCTACACACTTGCACCAGAGGTCCTCTAAGGACTTTATAACTCTTCTTCATGGTCCTCAGTCCATCAATGGATGGTCATCATCACTCTGAAATCCCCGACCTTTCAGAAATATTGTAAGTGTGATGTTAAATGTGTAATCAGTTGGTAGACTTCACACTGCATTTCTGTTACCTGACTTCACACTCCACGCCTTACAACGTGGAGTGTAAACTACAAACTTTTATTTCTTAAGTCACAAAGTGTTGTCTCTTTATGCAAATATACATTGTTTTCCCTTAACATGTATGATTTGCCAATTATTTTATGTTTTCTTTTGATGTTTCTGTTAATTTTACTCTACGTACCAACTTTGATTTCAGCAGACAAATTATTTATCTTTTCTTAATATAGGAACATTTATTTACATCAACACTTAAAATAAACTTACTCGCTCTGTAACTCGGATCTGCTGTTCCATCCGAGTTATGTCTTTTCTTAGCTTTACCATTTCTGACTCCACTTTAGCGTTGTATCCCTGCAGATCCAAAATTTCATCTTCAAGTTCCCGGATATCAGAATCGTCGTCGTTTCCTTGAAATAAAAAAAGAGAGAAAACTGTCGTCTTCAGGGATGGGAGCGTGAATTATAATCAAGAATATATTTCTGAAGGTCCTTCTTCAAGTTAAAACGCCGTAGAAAATAAACTTGGCTCATTTACAGAAATCGTAAAAAATGGATTATCATTTAAAACTAAATTTAAATGGAAGTTTTGGACAAATTGAGACTAAGTAGAAAAACAGACAGATAGACAGACCTGAATTGGATTTTGAAACTTTTTTGATTCTTCCATTTTTTAATAGTTTAATAAGAAAACAGATAATTAGAAATGATTTTTTTTCTTCCGTTTAATACAGTAATAAAATAAAAGTTATTTTCAGAATTTTGTTTTGAAACCGTTTTAAACAGTCTTACGAGATCCAAAATTATAACACAACAATATAAAATAATATTATAAATTGAGGAAATTTGTAACTTATATTCAATTACAAATAGTACAATATAATAACACTATGTGGCGCTATCGGCAGTGTGAGGTCGAAATGTGATGACCTCTATCACGTGGAGAATTGACAAAAATTAAAAACAGATAATTAAAAATAATTTTTTCCAGTTTAATAAAGTAATAAGGTGAAATATTTGTTCAGAATTTTGTCTTCAAACTGTTTTAGGTCCAAATTTTCAATTAAGTAGAAAATAATAATGAAAGATGTTGAGAGAGTTACATCTTACCAGATTGATTTTTAGCAATTAGAGAAGGCGTGTTGTCGGAGTATAGCCCTGGGTTTTTAATTGATGAAGTGGCTTTTGTACAGTCATAACTACTTTCCTGTGTTGAAAAACTCCCATCAGAAGGTCCAGTTTCACCGCAACCAGTAGTGGGACACCTGGTGGCAGGGAAAAACATCGCAAAAGCACATAAGTTAAACTTTGTACTTTGTGTATGTCTTATTTTAACACGAACGTGGACAAATTTGAATACTGCCAGATTTTACCAATTTATAAACTTTTAAGCAATCTCACAAATAGAATTTCAGATTTATTCTTAAAAACACGGGATTATCGCAAAATATGGAACAATTATAATTGTGGTATAAAAAAACGTTTGGATTGAGGCTTCATGTGTTGCACTCACAGCTAACATGACGAGCGAAAAAGCCTCGTTGGCAGCGACGTGTAACACATATGACGTGCAATCGAGATGCGATCGTGCTGTTTTTACAGGAAACCTTATAGGGTTAATAAAAAATACTTCTTGATAATTATTATTGGATTTACTGTGTTGTAATGTGTACAACATCGAAAATGTGAAATTTTCTTAAATATTTATATCATTGGCCCCCGATTCTTTCTTGTATACGTGATACGGCACTGGTTCAGGGATTCCCGATATTACTTTAAAAGTTAGTCCCAAATCACACGTTCTATGTTTCAAACAACAAAACATGTTGGAATCTCAACATGAAATATGCTCTAGATGTTTGCACTGAACCGTGGTATGGGTTTTAATGTATTAAAAGTTAGGATACCAGAAACCTTAAGCAATAGTTTTTCTTCATACACACACAAAAGTTGGTTGCTAGCAGGAACGGGGGATAGCGAGATGGGGGTGGAAGAGGAGACACTTGCCTCCCACCTAGCAGTCGTAAAGGAGCTCATAATTCTACTCAAAATTACACAACAATTTACCCTATGATATTAAGCAGTGGGTAATACGGGTATATACCCCCACCACCCACTTATATATGCTGAATTATTTACTACGTTACGAGCGACTCGCTATGATTAAAATATCACCGCATCCAGGGTCACAAAAGTACCGACTTGTCCCTGCCTCCCCCTCATCAGTAGAACCCTAGAACAGTCCCTGGTTGTTATATAAACAGTCAGATATAAACAGAAATGTTTTACTTTGTGTTATTTTTTTTAAAAAGAGCTTATGGGAAAGTTGTAATCTTTACCAAGTTCCTTCTGTCTTAATGACATTGAGAGTCTCTTGTCGACTAATCCTGCTCTTGTTAGCAAGTGGACACCCGGAAGCACTAGAATAAATAACAATAAACCTTTAAAAGGGGCACAAATAAAAGGGTTACTTAAAAAAATATTTTGATAACACACTTATATTTGTTTTGCATCCATTATAATTTGGATTGATTTATAATACAATTATTATTATCGTTGTTTGTTTTCGGCTCAAATACTAATTTATAATCGATTAAAAATAGTACACTATCATAACACTATGTGGCGCTCTCGGCAGTGTGAGGTCGAAATGCGTTGATCTCTATGACGTGGAGAGTTGATAAAAATTAAAAACAACTATTAAGAATGTAAGACATAGAAAGAAAGAAAAAAAAAACATTAGTTAAAGAAAGGTTTCAGGCAACGCCCAAGCTTCCATACTTGTAAGAGGATTAGCAAGTTATTTATGATAAAGAAATTAGACAGCGTTATGCAAAACATGTCAGAAAAGTTAGGCAACAGAAAGAAAGAAGAAATCATGTAGAACATATAAAAACAAGCCTGATAAACACTGATGAACAGAGAAGTTAGTAAAACAAGCTATACCTGCGATGGGATTGAAACTTCCCAGTCACGTGACCACCACCATCACAACCGGGTATTGGGCAACTATAATAAACGTTCAGTTAGGGTTAGTAAATTTATGTATAGCAATTCATTACTAAGTACTAATGCTATCCGTAGAACAAGCAAAGCACAAAAAATAGCCTTATTAAAAAAAACAAATAAAAACGTAATTCGAGATGTGTGGTAGGGTTAGCTATATTTTTTTCCATGGCAAAATTAGGCCAATAAGTCTAACGCTCAAGCAAACGTACATAAGAGTGAAAATGTATTAGATTTCTGTTTGAAAATGTAGCCGTTATGCAAAGGTTTATCTGCAGAGTGTGATTTGTCTGTTAAATCAACGTTGGTTTATCTGCAGTGTGTGATTTGTCTGTTGAAATCAACGTTGGTTTATCTGCAGAGTGTGATTTGTCTGCTAAAATCAACGTTGGTTTATCTGCAGAGTGTGATTTGTCTGCTAAAATCAACGTTGGTTTATCTGCAGAGTGTGATTTGTCTGCTAAAATCAACGTTGGTTTATCTGCAGAGTGTGATTTGTCTGTTGAAATCAACGTTGGTTTATCTGCAGAGTGTGATTTGTCTGCTAAAATCAACGTTGGTTTATCTGGAGAGTGTGATTTGTCTGCTAAAATCAACGTTGGTTTATCTGCAGAGTGTGATTTGTCTGTTGAAATCAACGT